CGCTCAGCACGTGCAGTGCACCCTCCCACTCACGGAGCCTTTTCATTTTTTTAATTGTAAAGTGGAGCAAAGATGTTCCTCATGGACAGCAGCAGCCCCATCCTGCTCAAGGCCCTGCTGCAGCATGTGCAGGGGCTGCCCAAGTGTCGCAGCCCCAGCTTCTGGGGACGGAGTGGGACCGGGGCCACCCCGCAGGACCCCATGATCCCGGGGCAGCAGCAGGGCCCCGCGCGTGCCCTGCGCCCTGGCCCTGCGGCTCCCTGAGGACCTGAGGCCGCATGTGGGGGCAGGACGGGCAGCCCCTGCGCCGGCCCTGCGCGGCTGCTGCCGCATCCCGGCCCCCGGCGCCAAGGAGCAGCCGAGCCTTGGGGCTCCCCACGCACACTCCGCCTCTGATGGCGCTGCCGGTGCCCGGGGCTGCCCTGGCGAAGGCAGCGCCCTAAGGCACAGGCAGAAAAAACAGGCGTGCACATTCGAAAAGCTTGGCTACCTCGAGAGCTGATTTTCAAGCACTGTGGAGCAAAGGCGGCTTGGGGCAATTGGGGGGCAGTTTTGCTCCTGGCAAAGGCAAGAAGGGAGCTGCAGAGCTGGGGGGGGACCCTCACCCGTGGGCACAGCTGAAGGCAGCTGCCCTGCCTCGTTCCCTGCAGATAAAAGCTTTTTATCCCTCCTCTAGCCCCGCATACTGTGAAGTGGCTTCAGGCAGAAACCCTCAGCGCTAGATTAATCCATGGCCTTGTTTTTTTCCATACCCAGCTCCTCACCTCCCCTAAAGCTGCTCTACAGCGGGGGGGGATGATGGATCCCTGCAGGGCAGTGGCTCCTGGCAGCTGCTGCCAGCACAGCGGGAGGTGGAGGGAGACACTTCCCTCGGCGCTGCCTTTCCCCGCAGGACAGATAGGCCCCCACCTCAGGGGGCAGAAGGAGACCTGGAGTATCACAAGCTCTAGGACAGCCCTGAGCGGAAGAGAGGGCTGAAAACCCCCGCTGAGGGGAGGCAGGAGCTGCCTGTGCCAGGACGACCCGCCTCTGAGCTGCCCCCGCCAGCAGGTTCATAGAATCATAGAATCACAGAATCCTTAAGGTTGGAAGGGACCTCTAGAGGGCATCTAGTCCAACCCCCCTGCACATGCAGGGTCACCTAGAGCACGTGGCACAGGACTGCGTCCAAGCGGGTTTGAAGATCTCCAGAGAAGGAGACTCCACAACCTCTCTGGGCAGCCTGTTCCGGTGCTCTGTCACCCTCACTGTTAAGAAATTTTTCCTTAAGTTCCTGTGGAACTTTTGGTGTTTCAGTTTGTGGCTGTTTCCTCTAGTTCTGTCGGTGGCCACCAGTGAAAGGAGGCCAGCACCATCCCCCTCACTGCCTCCCTTGAGGTACTTCTAGACACTGCTCAGGTCCCCTCTCAGCCTTCTCTTCTCCAGGCTGAACAGGCCCAGCTCCCTCAGCCTCTCCTCATAGGGCAGATGTTCCAGGCCCCGATCATCCTTGTGGCCCTGTGCTGGACTCTCTCCAGCAGCTCCACATCCCTCTTGTCTTGTGGAGCCCAGAACTGGAAGGTTTGGGTGCCTGGGCAGCGCAGTGACTGTGGGAGAGCCCCGCACTGGCCCAAGCAGCGCCACGGCCCCGGCCCCGAGCAGGGATGGCCCCGCTTCCTGCAGCAGAGCTGCTCAGGAGACAGCGACAGGGAGAGGACACCCTCTGTTGGACAGATTTATTGAAACAGTCAGGACCGAGCAAAGAAAATCAACGGTTGGCTTTAATTATTGCATATACCTTCATCTCTAGGACTAGGAAAACGTCACCTGATAAATACACATTTTATCAGAATGCCTTTGGCCAAAATACACCATTAGCACATTCTTCAAGAGTTACAACAAAAGTCTTAGAAATCTTAAAAAGGGATTTTCCTTTACTAAAATAAAGGAGTGCACCCCCTCCCCGGCGCTAGGGCTGACAGACAGGAGCTCGCGGCTGCGCGAAGCGGAGCGTTGATTGCAGTGACGGAGCGGAGTGGGGCCGGGAGCTGCATGGCGGCGGCCGTCAGGTCAGCATGTCCCAGAGGCAGCAGCAGCAGAGCGCGGTCCAGCACGCCGTGAGGCAGGCGCTCTCGCCCGAGTCGTCCCTGCGCCGCTCCTCCACCACGTACACTGCGCCACAGAGCAGAGCCCGCGTTAGCGCGCGGCGAGAGCGGCCCCACAGCACCCGGCCTGCGAGCGACCCCTCTCACAGCGGGAGGCAGCGGCTTCACCCTCGCGCCTGCAATGGCCTGGAGGCCCTTTGGGCTGCAGACTCTCTGCAGGAGCCAAGGACCCACCCCTACCCGGCCATGTGGCTGGGGTGGCTGCGCAGGGGAATCCCGCCAGCCCGTGGACCTGCGCTGCGCTCCGATCGGGACACAAGCACGAGGGGCAGAGCAGCAGGAGCAGATTCTTCACAGAACCGCAGAAGGGCTGAGGTTGGGAGGGACCCATTCAGCCCAACGCCCTGCTCCAGCAGGGACACCTCGAGCATGGGGCACAGAGTGGCATCCAGGTGGGTTTGGAAGATCTCCAGGGAAGGAGCCTCCACAGCCTCTCTGGGCAGCCTGTGCCAGGGCTCAACTGGATTTTTGTCACCTGGATTTTTGTCCAATTTTTGTTACTACAGACCAGCAAGGCACCTGGTTCAGCCCGGAACACATCCGTGGGTCAGTGGCTCCCCCCATCCATGGGGGGACGCGGGGTCCCGGGGCAGCGGGGAGGCGCCTTTCCAGGCAGCAGGTCCCGGGGCAGCGGCAGGACAGGGAGGTGGCCCCGCCTGCCCTCCGTGAGCGGCAGGGTGAGGGATGAGGCAGGGGCCGCGCGGGACACGTCTCCCCCGGAGCCTCCCTCTCGCCGCCCGTTTCCCCCTGTCCCTGAGCCCCTGCACAGCTGCCCCAGGGGCAGGAAAAACAGGCCACGGGCAGAGGGCTCCGGGCTGAGCAGAAGGCGGATGTGGAAGAAACGAGGGAAGACTCCCAGCACCCAGCCTGTGCCATGGGGTCACTTCTGTGCACAAGCAAAAGCTGCAGAAAGACCCAAAGCTTTAGCACAGGGGAGATGACGAGAAGCTGCACGTGGCCTGGCTGTGCGGATGGGAGTCAGACGAGCCCCTGGGACAGTTTTCCAGGAGCTGCCCCTTTCCATAGCTATAGGTGCACGCGGGATTTGTCAGCTTGCTTTAACAACAGACCCTGGCTTTGCCCTGGTCTTCCCGCGGAGGCTGCTGGCAGGTCCCTGCTCCACTGGTGTCCCCGCACACGGCAGTGCCAGCGGCCTGTGGCACTGGCGGGGGGCCCTGCCGCCTCCCTGCTCTCTGCACAGGGCGCTGCAGCCTCCCATGACCCGTCACACCCAGAGCCCCCCTTGCAAAGGGAAGAAGGAAATCTGCCCCAGGAGGCGATGAAGGTCTGGACAGCAGCCTCACATGTCCACACGCAGGTGGCAGCCCCCACCTCGCACTGCAGCAGCCTCCCCAAGGCTCCACATTTGAGCACCCGGAGTAGCCCCGGCTGTCCCTGTGCTGCTCCCTCGGGAGAAGCCACCTGAATCTGCTGCTCAGTCTGCACCCGGCACTA